TTAAAAAAAAACATTAAACAAGATAAACATTAGTTGTAGCGTTGTAACCATATGAAATAATATGGATAAATTTAATCTGATTGGTTCATAGAGAATAATACTGGTGCTGGGTCAATTAACTGTCTTAATAGAGACATCTGTTAGCCACTGACATGAAGTTAGCATTTAGATAATGCTACTTTTGTATGTCAATTAACAAAATATTGTGGTACAGAGGTTTAATCTCTTTAATGTATCTGTCCACCTTGATGTGTGAATTATTGTTCATAACATAATTTATTTTATTACTTCTATTTTTTAAAGTGGTGGTAGTTTTTTAAGTGGCATTTTCCCATTTTAAAGACAGAATATTCAATGGTGAAATTTCAAAAGCTAAAAACCAAATATTTCCAAGATATTGAAATAATTTATAAATATGATGAACATTTACTTCAGTACAATCTGAAAAGAAAATAATTAAGAAGTGCACTGTGTACATAGGATGTTGCATTTCAATACATGCATAAACCAAAGTGTTGCTGTTAAAATTAAGAAATAATTCATCAAGTTAATGAGTGTACATACAAGATATTTGAAAGCATTTTCAAGGAGCTGCCTGCCTTGCTCTTTATGCAAGTCTGCAACTATCCACATTGTAACTTGTCGTAGAGAGTTGTCATCTGAAATCATTTAAAAACAAATTCTTCTTTATTTATCCACTTATACCACACACTTGAGGTTAATTCAATTCATAAATGTAAATGCACTTGAGGTCATGTTATAGTAATTTAAGCAATGTAATAATGTAGTTAGATTTACACCATGTCTCAAAGTGCTCAAAAAGTAGACTAGCATCGCTGCCCCACCATGACAAAAGGAAGTAACTGACAATTTTTCAAAAACTAGTTGTTTTTTTAGTCACTATCAAAGAACCAATAATTTTTACATATTGATATATTTGAGTATGTTCAAATCCCACTCATTAACAAGTAATTAGCAACACAAAAAGGAAGTAAGAGACTAAAAATACAGTAAAAACCACCAGAAAAGGAAGCAGGGGACAAAATCAACATGCTCCAAATTCCTTAATTACTCAATGCAATGCAAACATCATTGCTTCCTTTTGTCAAGGTGGGGCAGCATATACGGTAACTTTTTTCTCCCTTGAGGGTCTCATTGTGTCTGAGCTACCCCCTGTACCAGGTAAACCACTGTCAGCTACTCTTGTCTGTCCACAACAGGTGCTGTATAACCCAGTACACTAGGGCAACCCTCTACTCATCTCGAAAGATGTATTGGGTTCTTTCAAGTGCACATGAATCAGTTGTGTACATGGGACCTACAGGTTAAAGTCCTTATCTCAGAAGGCTTGTTCCACCACTGGAACCATAAGCGAGCATGCCTCTCAAACTTCAACTTACCTTTTTTTGTGAAATATATCATGTTATCTGCTACAACTGTTGCTACCTGTGGTGCACTCAAACTGGATAGATCATCTTGTAATGACAGGCCCTCTGCAAAACAGTAATAAATTTAAAATTTTACCAACATTTAAGAAAAATGTGATTTGTTCCAAAAAAATTAGTGAAAGTCACATATTATTACTGAAACATGAATGGGATTAATGCAGATTTTCTGAACATTAATAGCATATCTCAAATGTTTATAGCGCCAACTCCAAACTAAGATCATAATTAAATGCACAAGTAGTAAAATTTACAAATTAACCACTATAATTTATTATTTTAAGGCATATAAAGTAAAATACAGTAACTTACCAACTCTGGAAGTGAACTGGATGAACTTAACATCTGGGTCAAGAATTCTTGAGTTGAGCCTTGGCATAACATGAGGTTGATCCATAAGGTATTCTACTGGATCCATTCTATCTGTCAATCTTGCCTGCATCATTACAAATTTTAAAAAATCGATCAATAATTTACACAATAATTTCGAGAAAGTTACAAAAACTAAACTAGATTTGTGGTGGCACTTCATTTATTTCCAGTGACTTCTCCACTTTAGAGGATTTGCTTTATAACAAATTATCAAACCAGCAAATTATGTCAGCTACCTGGTTTATTGGCAAATATACATGGGTATGTATTGCAGCTTGGTGGTTAAGATGGAAGCTTCTAACATTTCCAGACACCTGGCTTAACATCCAATAAAGCAACAGACATTTGAATAGCTGTATCCTGTATTTTAGCATTAACTTGTTGTTAAATTGGAAAGACGCTAAATGTGTACATATGCTTTACATTACCCTGTAGATGGCTCTCTGAATATCTGGGGTGCCAGTCAATACTGCAGAAACAACCGTCTCCTCAAATTGATCAGGTCCTAGCTGCGAAGACCAAACAAAAACTTATTAACATTCTAGTAAATGGACATACAAAGCAACAGCAGAACATACAGCAGTGTTTTAATAAGGATGTTGGATGACTTCACACAAATGTCTAGTAATTACACTCAAATTATATTATATTTTTTGTTCTTATATTGTTTAATTGTATTGTACTGATAATACCTGTACCTCTTGACCACTACAAACAAAAATAAAAATTTGAAATATACAAACATGTACTTCTTTAATGAATAGTGATAGAGAAGAAGGATGTATGTGCCCCATGTTGCTTGGCCGGACTGTTCTATTTATTTCTTAGGGGTGTTATTACACTTTATAGATCCCTCTCACTGCTACAATCTTCATATGAAAATTTCAATACTTACCTGATCAACTGGCAATGGTTTGCCATTGAGTAAAACTTGAGGGAGACTCTCAAGGGCTGTACGTTCAAAGAAAGCCTTGCCACCCTACAGGACAAAAAAAAAAAAAATCAGAGTATATATATATATACATATATATATATATATATATATATATATATCATTCTTGTATTTAAAGAAGAGTAGCTGAGGTCTGTCTCATTAGTCTTTCTATTTACTTAAAGAATACAAAACATACTTACAAACAAAACAATGGCAAGGAAAGGAGAGTCAGTGGCGGCCGGCCCAGCAGGAGTCAAAAGGGGAAAATACTCCTGCGGGACAGACCTGGATCCCCATCGTCCAATGCCACGACAAGGTTGTCAGATCAAAAATATTAATTTTTGCCTATCCAAATAATGTTATTTTGATTGTCAATCCCTAATATTGTGGACTAAAAGCACAATTTAGGGCCAAAAGCCAAAAAAACTCTCCCCATGAACCCTACCCGGGCTAATTTTTTCGGAACCCTGAAAAAAGCTCTAGTTGGTTCCTTGGTTCGGACCCCTGATGGACTTGTTGGACCCCTGTAGGCTAATTTCTGGAGCCACCACTTTGTTGTAGTGGCAATAATTGGTGTGGATTTTCAAGAATTTGGACCATTCCAAATTTGTAAATGTTGGTGCCTCGAGATTTGGCCCTGAATCTATTGAAATTTTTGGCAGATAAGTTTTTTTTTATATACATAATAATGCACAAGCTTCATTTTTCACACACATACTCTTCTTGCCTTAGTGTATGTCGCTTACCCTCCCTGCTTCGCTATATTCAGAATTGCTCGCAATGATAGATTCAAAATCCTGATGTTTGTAAAAAGTTTCAAAAGTTTGCTCCACATGTGTTAATTCCAGTTCACTTTCATCTGCTAGTTGGTATATCTGGTGACAGTAAAATAATAGTGTTTCATTGTTTAACTGTTCTAACTTTCACCTGGCAACAATATACTATTTTTATAAAAAAGCACAACATGTTTGTATTGTAAAAGAAGTATAATAAATGTATCCCTTTGTACAGAAAGGATCTCACTAAATGTAGAATAAAAGACAATTAATAAAAATTCTCACCCTTGCAAGAATATCCAATGCTTTATCAGGACCATCTTCAGCTAAAACAAAATTAAGAACCCTATGGATAGCAACTCCCGCATCATCTTTGCCATCCACTTCGTCACTGTCCGTTACAAACACAAGTCCATACCTAATCGGAGCATCATTAGCAAAGAATATTTCAAGCTGCTGTAAGAGCATTCCACTCTCTGGTTTAACTGGATCCAAGATGAACACCTGTGGTAGAAAGGATTTCCTCAATTTAAACAATAATGTAAACAATGAGAGCAGACATTACAAGCATCGCAACTATAATTGGTAGAAGTGGTTGGCGCATCGGTTGTGGCTTGGACTCCCAACCTTGAGGTCGGGCGTTTGAAACTCTCGCTGTGCAAGTCGCTTGTGTCCTTGGGCAAGGCACTTTATCTACGGTTGTCTCTCTACACCCAGGAGTACAAGTGGGTACCTGGTAGGTTCAAACACAGCCTGCGCTGAATACAGCTGCAGCATTATGGAATTCCCCCATGGGGCTTGAGTGTGTGTTCCATATGTGCTTGATCCAGTGGTAATAATGTAAGCCCATAGAGGTCCTTACGATATGCGCTATGTAAGTCGACAATTATTATTATCATTAATTAACTTGAGATTGTATCTGAAAAACTACAATAAAAAATACAATGAGGTAAAAGTGTGATGTGTTGTGTTACCATGCAGAGAGGAAGAGAGAAAGGGATAAAATTAGGAAAGGAAGAACAGCGGAAGTCAAGAGTGGAAAAGAAGTGATTAATGAGAATAAATTATAATTATATAATTTGATTATGCATGGAAGGAAAAGAAGGAGGAGAGTAAAGAGGGAAAGAAAATGTGTGTGTGTGTTGTCTTAAAGCAGGAAAGAATCAGAAGAGGAAGGAGCAAGTAGAAAAAAAAAGTATGATCAAGTTATAATGCAGAGGAGGGGAGATGAGAGGGGGAAAGGGAAGAACAGAGTGTAAATAAAGCAGAGAAGAATTAGAAATTTTTAAGTTTTCTTACCCAGTTAAGGAGAAAGAGAGTTGAAAGAAATAGGAGTGGGTCAATGAGGAGAAATATGAAAAAAAGAAGAAAAGAAGAATGATTTTACTTTTTTCTTACCAAGTTAAAAAAATTTCTTCTGACATGCCTCATCATTCCAGGAAATGTTGGTCTCAACATTTCATGCATGGCACTTGGCCAATTTCTATAGCGATCATCCTCTTCTAAATCGTTGACAAACTAATAAAAAAACACAAAAAACAAAATCATTTGTACCTTAGGGTTTTGGGAAAGGTACTATCTTAGCATCATGTTTGCGCAAGGCCAGGCTGACAGTTGCAAAGAAAAAAATTGGATGAGACGTTTAAGCCATTGGTCCTGTGTGCAGTATAGACTATGTGCATGTTGAAGAACGCAGTACACTCTTTAGAAAAGTGTAGGGAATTGTCTCATGTTATACTGGCCTATCACTACCAGAAGGACCCCCACTGGTGGAAATAAGTCTTCTATAGGACACTCATGGTTTATCCTTGGTATTAAAACAAATCCAATCCAAACAATTCTTGTCATATATATCTGCTAAGGTAATTTTCCATCTCAGTACCACATAATTTATTATGAAGTACATTTTTCATAGATATTATTTCAGACAAAAATTATTAAACAATTTAATGGTTTTAGAGCTTACCACAACAGCATTATCCCTTATGTCAACAGCAAAGTCCCCTTCATTAACCACCAGTTGTGTTCTCAAAAGCTTATCAATATTCGTTCCCTAAAAAAACAAAACGGTCAATGCTGTTTACCAACATATAATTCATTTTGGTTTAATTAAATAATTTCATCTCTTGCTTTGCTAGGAGCAAGAGTGTGCTTGTGCTTTTGGCAGTGGCATATCTAGGGGAGGGCGTGGGGCCCCAAGAAATTACTCCCCCCCACCAGTTGTCCCACCCCCAAAATCATGGTCAAGTAGTTACAAAATCACCATATTTTGCGAATTAGCGCCCCTCAACTAATCCTCGAGCACCCCCCCCCCCATTTCACCTTTGCTGGTGCCTACTTCAGATGTGTATAAGAGACAGACCGACTACATCGCAGTGGAGTGTAGTCTGAATAGGGTATTCATTTACAAAGAATATTACATGTATATTACGATGGCCCCTAAATATCAGCTGACTTTCTAGGATACAAACTGATAAAAACTCTAAAGTAAAAGATGAAAAAAGAATAAAGTGTTTCTTGCAATGCATTAAGTGAACTCACTTTAACGTCCAGGGCATGAAGACCAGCCATGACACCAGCCTCTGTTGTCAATAAATCAAGAAGCCTGAAATATACAATGTCAATAATTGATTTAAAAATTAACGTAGATAGGAGTGCCAAATAGATGTCAGGGCTGATTGACAAATCATTCAGTTGGTCATGGACCATGTACCTTTGGGATATGATGCCATTTTTAGAAGAGAAAAATGACAATTATCTCAATTTTCATTTTTCCCTTCTAAAAATCACAATTATCTCAATTGTCATTTTCAGAAAGGAAAAATGACAATTGAGATAATTAGCACTGAAAAAGAACTAATTAAACTGTATCCAGGCCCGTATCCAGGGGGGGGGGTTTAATGGTTCCGGAGAACCCCCCTTTTCTAGTAAACCCCCTCTTTTCTGGTGAACTTCAAATTTCCCAAATAAGTCCTCCAACCCAACTAATGCACTGCAGATCCACCCAGACAAAGACCTTTTCAAACATATCTGCTTTTATAGCATTATTTGGAGCCATAAAGCACAAAAATCCCCTTGCTTTGGGGGTTTCACGACCCCACCGGGGCTTCGACCGTGGTCCTCACGCCCTTGAAAGGACCTGGCTACGGGCTTGGTATCTGTATAAATATGAATCTAAAGTGCTAGAAAATTATACTGATTAGTATCTAATAACACATAGTGTCAAAATGCAAGCGTTTCCCAACCCCAAGCGCTCATGTTGCACTTTTTTCTAGACAAAGATGTTCGACGGGATATATAGTGTTTTTCTTTTGGTGGCAGCACTAAAATTGATCTAAGGGCCACACTTTCTTACCTGTGTATATTAAGACTAACAAGGCATCAAACTAAATTTCATCTTGAATAAAATCTTTCAGATCATAAACTTACATAAATGGATCAGCTACATCCATATCAATCACCAGTCCATTTATCATCAACATGTCTTCCCCAGATTCCAACCCAACACTGCTGTACAGAACCTAATAAAAGCAATTTGAAAATTGGCTCAATTGGCAAAAACTGACAGCAGTACAGTGCCATTTCCAAGATAACCATGGATAACCTAGAAACCCCAGCAGGCAAATTGGAAGAATATTGGGATTGTCACCCAATATTTACAACTAAGTCACCACCAATTTTGTAAAGATGGGCACACATAGTACTCTGCAACTAGACTCACATAAGCCAAATATCAACATATATATTAATGGCTGTTTCAAAATATTATTTATATAGCAACCAAAATATTATATTATCAATAATAGAAGTTACAAAATGTCCACTTCCCATTATGTTTTCAAAAATAAAGGAATTAAATATATCTAATAAAAAATAATTCTCACTCTCTAACTGTTAATTAAAATATGAAACAAATATATCTCATCTATTAATTGATGAGAAATATATTTCACATCCTGATTGAGGGAAATTATATATAATAAAAATATTATATAAATGCCCTTCTTTCTGACTAAGCCAACACAGACAATGTTGTATAACACAGCCAATGCCATTTATTGTAAGGGACAGTGTTTTAGGTCGTTGTGAGGGTGATTGTAAGACGCTGTCTGCTTTAGCCTTAAGAATTAACGTAGAAGCTTTAATATTATCTTACCCTCTGATTGGTGCCTACTTCTTTTTTGAAATCATCTTTGAGGGTTGTTTTCACCAATGAATGTGCTCTCATTGGAAAGTTTTGACTTAAATCTCTCATGACCATTAGCGCATCACCGACATCTGATGTCATCACACGCTGGGCAGCCTGGTAAGATATATCTAAAAAAAAAAAAAAGAAAAACACTTCATACTTCATAAATATACAGACAGTTGAACCCCTCCTTTGGATATCCTTAAAAGGGGGACACCTTTATTAATGGGACACCTAATCAAGGGACTTTTTACTGGTGGATTTTAGAAATTAGCATTTACTTATACAGTAAGCTCATAGGGCTAGCCAAACACTTTAAAATGACACAAAAATTAGCACAATAGGGCTATACTTAAACGTACAAGGTATTGCTAACTAGTTCAACATATTTTAGCATGTATCTCACTATTTTAAAAGGCCTAGTGCAAACATTTATCATTCCTGATTGTTTTTCATGGGTCTCAACCATATCCAAAAATTTGAGACTAAGGTAAGTACTTGGTAGATTTGACATGGAATCACTCATAAAATCTGGTAAAATCCCTAAAAAAAATTAAATTAAAACAATGCATTGCTCATTTAAAATGATCACATAAATTATTAACTTCCTATGAAACTAAACCTAACTAAAGAAATTTCAACTGATTTACAGAACTTGTACTGCAAAAATCCTTATACTGATTACCAGCCATTTGAAGGATAGATGCAAACAAATGTATACCTAATTATTAATTATATATTTTTCTAGTTGTTGATAAAAATATTTTCAATTGAAAGTTAATAATTTAGCCTAATAATTTTTACAAAGCTATTCAAAATATTGAATGTTATTTTTTTCATAGCATAGATGGTGTAATGTTTAATCTACACAAATTAGCAGTGATGAAGGTAGTAGCTGGTCAAATGCGGTTTCGGGAAAACTGTATTTACAATACACAATAAAAATGCATTCAAAGATATAACCTATTTCTCGAGTAATACCTTGTAACTGCCAAACTTTCAATGGTCTCATCTTATTACTTTCATCTACAAGGTGACTCTGAAATTGTTGAAGATTACTACTCAAATCTGGATGAAGCTCCCTAAAAAAGAGAAAAGCAAAAAAATAATTAATTACTAAATTATTTGATTCTGTCCATTACATTTTGGTAAACCTTAAATGTACAAAAGTAAAAGTAATACAAATTCTTTGCTTGATTGAATGAATGAAACAATAATTTGTTGGTTAGTTAGATGGTTGCCTAGTTAGTGAGTTGTTAGTTTAGTGAGCTAAATCATTCATATGAAAAAAAATTATTTCATCAATTAATTAATTCTGCCACCACATTCAATCCATCACAATACATATAAGCAGCAAAAAATATACAAGTTTTTTTTTTATTAGTTTAATGTTATCTAACTAAATACAGGTCTTCCTCTAATTAAAGACCTTTTAATTAAAAACCATCAGAGGCACAAATGAGCACTCATTTTATGTTAATCAATTTTTCAATTGGAAATCAAAATTGTTAAGACCATAAAAGCCCTGGTCCCAAAGTGGTCTTCAATTTGAGGGAGGCCTGTATTGATGTTTTAAAATAAACTTCACCTGAGTTTAGAAAATATAAAACCATTGACTTCATCTGGTATGTGTTCAGAATCTTGGTTTCCTTGTTTTGATCCATCTTTGACGGTCGAGTCATCATACGCCTTGTACTCTGTACTCTTAATAGCAAGCTCCACACCGTACCCTGATAAACGCTCCTTTCTCTTTGAAATATTCTAAACATAAAAAAACATAGATTTATTGTTTCGCTAAATCTTATTTCTTTTGTATTGTCTGTTACACAGAGCCAATTTCAGACAATGACTTGATGGATCATTCGCAGAATACACCTTATGTAACATAGGCTGTGCATTTCGCATGTGATTGATAATTTTTGTTTCGTTTCGTTCAGGCCAATAGCCCGTAGAAAAAATGCCATTATAAAAGGTTAAGAGAGGGCAGCCTTCTTTTTCGATAGACAAATGTAATCAAGTTTAGATCACTCTGAGTTTTAACATTTCTAAATAATAACATTAATTTTGTTATTTTGGTATTTATATAGCGCCAATTCTCTTAGGTTATAAAGCACTTTTGTTTTCCCTGGTGATTGCGTCCACATGCTTAAGTGTTGATGCCATATTGGCACAGTAGCAGGCAACCCCACCAGGTACCCATTTATACTCCTGGGTGGAGAGAAGCAACGCAGATAAAGTACCTACTCAAGGACACAATAGAAATGCACAGCGAAGGATTGAAAACCCGACCTCGAGGTTGGGAAACCAAACCGTTCCCACTGCACCAAACCGCTTCCCAATTTCACAAAAAAGAAATTGTTTATATAATTATACAATGTTTCTTGTTGAAAATGGTAATTTAAGATTGGAATAATTTCTCCTATAAAAAGAAAAAGGTATCAGACTCTCTCTCATCCTTATAAAAAGGGTATACAGTGCATACAAAGCAAACATGGGAAATATCTCCATTCAATGCAAGGTTACACAGTTTACATTGTTTTAATCTTTCATATGATACCAAATATGTTCAAATTGAATCTTTCATTGACAGACTAGCTTCAAAATACCATTTTTGACATGAAACATTGTATAAATATAAAAAAAATTCTCTTTTGTGAAATTTACTACAGAAACCAGAGTACTTACTTTAAAAACTTTGAAAAAAAAAACTGTTGGTTATATTATTGTTAGCAATTTAATGAAAAACATTAACTAGAGATTATAAAAATTACATTATATACCTTTACATAATGCCTGAATAAATAGTTGATCTGATGGTTTTTGGCCATGTCTGCTAACTTTTTATGAAATTTGTTGAGATTTGACCTAAAATCGGCAAGTTCAGCATACAAGATAACAGTGATGTTTTTACTTGTGCTCGCTGGGTACACATGATCGATTTCATATACAATTGATGTTTCCCTAAAACAGAAAAAAAAACATATTAAGCTGAAAATCATTATGTAAATCAGCAGTTCTGAAACTATAGGTCACACCTCACAATTGGGCGTCAAAATAAATGAAAGGGTCGCAACTCTCTTTTGGACTATTTAAAAAATTTAATTTTATATGCTAAATTTTCCTGTAGTAAAGAGAGCGCATTATGTCTCATATTCTACAATTTTGTTTACAAGTTATGATCATTTTGAATATCCATTTTTGAATGTCCTGGGAAGTAGGTCACAGCAAATTACTAGACGTTTGTTTGGGTCGTCACACAAAAGGTTTGACAACCTCTGATGACATTAATCCAATACTGTACTATACTTTAAAAAATTAACTTTATTGCTTTTTTTTTGAGCCACTAATTTAATATGATGGAATTTTAATTACACAAACTTTCTTACAAGTTTTATTTACTGTTATTATGAAAATATTCATAATTCTACTGTTATAATGATTATCAATGAACAGGGTCAACCTCAATAAATATAGTGTAACAGATTTTTTAAAAAACCAGTACAATTGTGCTGTGGGGACTTGGGTCACAAGGGACCAGGACCACAAGGGTGAAAAAAACTTAAAGGTTAAAGGTCATGTATTTATATCATGCAAAAAGGAGTGAATACAAAATTAATTGTTTTCATTAGACATTGGATGTACCTAAAAGGCCCAGACACTCTACATACGTCAGCCCTGCCACGCTACCGCTTTCTTTCGATAGCCTTGTCACTGATACTTGGCTAAAATTACAATAGGGACTTCTAATGAACGAATAAAAGCAATAAAGCAATAAAACATGCACTAAACATACAGTACTTACTTTCCAAAAACATAATCATTTTCTGATCTAAGCCAGCTACCATTGATATCCATTTTATGGATAAATAAAATTTTACAATGTAGGATAGATAAAAATTGTTTTACTTTTTCTTAGGCTAAATGGCTGACATAATACATTTAGTTTTCATAACTATAAGGAACAGGAATTAAATAAGTGAAGCAAACCTTTGATCTGCTGTTTGTACTAATGAATCAATTTTATCCAATGAACATGTGATATCTCCATGAACCTCCACAAACACAGAGCATTCTAAATCCCCAACAACTTCTGTAGCCATCTGAAAAAATATATTATATGTTTGAAAATAGCATTATGGAAACATATGTGTGGCTGTCCATGGATTTGATAATGAAGCCTAATGATGAAGCCCCTATTTCTTTAGGTAATCAGAGGTTTCCCATATTTTAGAATCAGTTTTAACTTTGTTTTTTGGACACAGGACATTATGTCCTAATGCATCAGTTGTTGCACACCAACTGTGACACCCTCTGGACCCATGTGACTAGTCCAGACTATCAATTTTCATTTTTTACCAAATTGTTGTATACCCATATAGTCTGGTCATGGTGTGCCTATATATGGTCATTCCTCATAAATTTCATAGTGTGGACATTGGCCAATATATATTTCAAACATCGTTAATCTGATTAAAAAGTAACATTATAATTTAAGAGCATCAATACAATTTGAGATAATTTCATCACTTACATCATAAAAAAAGCAAAAAAAAATAATTTATGCTTGTTCATGAAAATAAAAAAAAATATTTTTTTTTTTCATTTTCATGAACAAGCATAATTTTTTTTTTTTTGATCATGAAAATGAAAAAAAAATAATAGTTTCATTACATGCAGTAGTTGTCAACAATTTTTGTATTTAATACAATAATACTACAAAAAAGTATTGACAAATGGGTGTGCTATGTATATTTTTGTGTTTTCACAGATAAGCATCAACTTCTTTGTGCTTCTTCCAGGTGTAAGCCACAAATCATGGGATTCTCTATACTCACTTGATTATGTAATGCAATCTTGGGCGAGAAGGAGTGCAGCGAGAGGCTGAGCTTCAAAAGAGCCAATTCTGACTGCGATAAACCTGAGCCAGCAAATTTCAATCCAAGTTCATACCTCATTTCATCATGCTCTGGAAATATGAGAAATGCAGTTGTAGTTAATATCACAGTATAAAGACAATCAGACAATATTCAAGTGTATTTAAGAATAAAGTAAAAAAATTCCTAAATTTATCAAAGTACATTTAGTAAAATTGAGGAATAAAGAGAGAATACAGGCTGTCGTGGAAATCAAATTAGAGACCTCCAAAATTCCATTTTAGTGCTCTGCTAACTGTAGCTCACCCTAGTTGGTCAAATAAAATAGAATCTGAATCTATAAAAATTTAATAAACACTTGCTGGTAAAAAAATATGTTTTGAAACACTTACCATCTCCAATCTGAGACTGTGACATCCCAACTATAGATTCAAAAAATGTCCAGAATGCATCATTACTGTGGCTAGCTAAAAATTCACTAGTTTCCAACAAAACTGGCGTTGCGGGCCACTTTGCGTCCAAACTTGCCATGATGGATTGGCTTGGTACTGCTCTAGCTGATGTCATTAAAAAACCAGCAAGCGCAAGTATTACCACCAACTCCATCGTCCACCCCAATTCTAAAAAAAATGAAATATTGCAAAACAAAAATGTCAATATTCTTATGTTTCTTACTTGGGGTTGTGTCACACTGATTTTAGCTGAGTGGAGGATATCTCAAAAACCAACTCAAATTTGTGCAAAATATCGATGGAAAAATAGGTATGCAGAATCACAACTAACCTGCTCAAAATATTAGTTGAACATAATCAGAGATACTATACTGTGCGTAGGTCAAGGTCTAATTTTCTCAAAAATTGTGTGGAAATCAGCCTTTATTTTTCTGAAATGTGACAGATTTCGAATTCTAGGACTAATCTTTGCAGGGGTACAGTATATATTCCCCATGTAAGCTTTATTTTACAGACTGTGGACTTTCAGGCTGTGAAACCACTTCATGCATGATGTAATTAACACTATCTACTGAAGTTGACTAAATATAAAAATAAAGTAGTGTACAAATGAGGTTCAACATGTAGAAAATTATTTGTACATGAATCTATTTTTGTATTTAATAACAACTTCAGTAGATAGTCATCATATGGCTATATCATACAGTATGTCAAACCTGCCTAATTTTCTCGGTTTTCGTTGTCTCAATTTGCAATATCTGGTTACACAATATATCAGCAATAATTAGTCTTTCTTTTTAATTGTTCTGGTAAATGTATATATATTTTAATATCAGTAATTTTATTGTTGTTAAAACTAATATTATCAAGTTACATATATTAATCCATTGTATTAGCACCTGTACACAAATCTTGACAGTATCTTGTTGTATTGTTGACAATAAAGTTTCCTTGATTCCTTTTATGCTTACTTTTCAAATAGGCTTAATCCGCTTGGTAACTGAGTGATATTATAAGATCATATCACTCAGTTACCATTGGGATTAAGTCAGTTGTTCACTTTTCCCTTAGCCTTTTTATTACTTTTAAGTCAATAAACATCAGTATTACAGTATTTAATAGTACTACAATGAACTACAATGATTGAAAACACAAAAGTCTTACATGAAAGGTAAAGGCAAGGTGCACTACTCTAGACCTACTGTATGTCTTGAATCCCAGTTTTGTTTGCATTACCTTTACTAAAGCGGAAACATTGTTATTTGTTACGTGACAACAAATCCTGCTTTAGAGACCATTACTGCCACATTGCAACTTGCAAGAATGAACATGGATGTGAGCACAGCCTAGGAATTAGGCCCTATATTTAGCCCAGGCCTATAGAATAGTTCCTACCTAGCCTAGGCTTTAGGCTAGCCTAGGCTAGTAGGCCTAGGCCTAGGCCTGGTCTACATTTTTTATTATATTTGTTTATTTTATATTAAATTCGTTTTTTAAATTGATAAACTTCCCAATGGAAAAAGTTGTAATTTTTGTAAATAAGCTTAACTAGCCTAGACCTAACTAACTTATTTTTGCGCAGGCCCTATTTTACAGTCTGGAACCTAGGCCTATGTTACAATTTCATATAAGCATACAATTACAAGTCGAATTGGTACGCGGCCAAAGTGGTCCCAAGCCGGCGCGGCTTGGTCACCAGACTCGTGCTTAGCTAGGCCTAGGCCTACCTAGCTGGCCTGCAACAAGGTATTCACAAGACTTTAATTTACTAGCAATATAAAATTAATAACAGGTTATAGTTTATATGTATACAATTTACCTCAGATTAATAACGAGCAACAACAAAAAAAGACAACAGTGTTATCTCCTTCGTTCACACGTACCGGTCATCACGGTACACACAGACGCAGCACGATTTGTTTATCTCAAAATAAAAACGCGTTTCTTAACGCAATATAAGCAACGAAACAGTGTTTACAAGTAGATATTTGAAGATTGTTTGCCATAAAGTTCAATCCTATATTTTATTTCTAATTAATGTAACTTAATCATGAATGTTTAATGTTCATGACCGATTTTTAAAGTTTGTTTGTAGTGTCTTCTTGATACATAAAGTAAGATATGAATAAAAGAACGCGTTTCTCAATAATATCGCGTTATGATTAGCCAATCAACATGTGCAACGTGTCCTCCGTGCGTCTCATAACACGAAAATTTGAGACCAAAGTTTTATAGTATAGGCCTAAGTAAAACAAAATTTGTAACCTAGCAAAACTTATAAACAACAAATCAACTACTAAGCCCAATGGGATAATTCTGAGAAGAAGTCCATCTCGAATTGAAGCCCCCTCCTTAGTTTGCGAAATAGCCTCGAAAACCCATATCTAGAAAAGAAGCCCACCCAAATTTTGCAAAAAAAAAAAAAAAAAAAAAAAAAAAATAGCCTAGGGCTTTCAAAGTTTTACGGTAGGCCCTATATGGGGGAAACAACTAACTTTTCTAAGGCCTATATGACAAATGACTAACACGTGAAAAGTGCGCGAACGTTGGTTAGGTGGCATATGTCACAAAATATATACTTTCACATAACGTTGCAGGAAAATTTTAAAAACGTTATTCATGGTTCTACAAAATAGCGCCAAGCTGTAACGTTATTCAAAATGAGAACTTTTTTAGAACGTAGTGTACCGTAATTATTAGCTGCGGCTCGTTATTATTAGTCGACCCTGCAGCAAAAGGCTGCAGGTTTTATTTTTTCAAATAGTTGGAGATTTCAATGTTGCATAGTGTTGTATGGGAAAAAATACCCAGTGAAAATGGTAAAATGAACAAAAGGCTCTACACACGAAACATTACTTTTTGTGTTTATTCCTTCAGTTTTGTACTGTAAAACAATTGAAATTAAAGGTATGAAATTTTATACAATGACTAACTTGGAATCTAGGCCTACTGGAACTACTCACATAATATAATATAAGAAATAGAAACCTTTGTGTGTTTTTTTTTAATATAAAGGTTCGGAAGTATTAGGCCTATGCCGGGTGTTACCGACAAACATAGGCCTAGAAGATAATTACCGTATGTAAAACTTTACCTCTTAACACTGGAAATTAAGGTAAAGCGCATGTCTCAATGAAACGGTAGTCTATAACCTACTTTAGTACCGTTCACCGAGTTTGACTTGTTAAAAAATTCATAAATGTATTAGGCCTATTATGGTCTATAGTACCCATTATGTATTTACCTCCTCATATTAAAGAGGAGACTAAAAATGTTAATTGGTGAAAGAATTTCGCCGTTCGGACATCCGAAGCAAGTGGTATATAAGTGTTTCTGACAAATATATAGAAGATTAAATTACCGTATGTGATCTTTACCTCTGAATACTTTGTTTCCTGGAATGTTAAAGGTAAAACATGTCGTAATGAATACGGTATACTTTAGTAACGTTCACTGAGTTTGTGAAAATTTATCTTTTCCTAACAAAACAAAACCAACCACACACTTCATTGTCACAACCATGTTGAGTTGATTACTGAGTATGTGACTGGAACCCGGACCCCCACCGGGGTTCTGCCTCTGGACCGCGGGGACCCTGGCGGCCTCCCCCACTCCCATTCAGTCACGCATTTCTAATCACTCAGGTTGGTAACTATGAAAATGTCTATCGGTGAAAAAATGTTGCTGTTTGTTGGTGAATCCTCCAAAGTTTCTTACGACATCCTTCTGAGTTACAAACTGAGAAAACTCAGTGAAATATGTAACCAGCAGACGTAAGTATCTGTGAGACACAGATTATGAAGTAATTACGCAGCATTAGAATGCAAAAGTATATATTTTTACGAAACAGTTATAGGCATCGCAAGTTCTTAGCCAATAATTGGACGAGAAGCCAACAACGTAATCGCAATGAGTACAGTATGCAGAGGGCTGCCAAACACATAAATAAATATTTAATTAAAAATACGAATTAGTAAAAAATTCCAAGTTGATTATAAGACACTGTCGTAAAGCAGAAACACGAATTTCCTCAGCCATTCACCTCCTTAACCAGCTCCAGAATAGTTCACCACCCGACCCCAAAACACGTAACAGACGCTGGACATGAACCCGATTAGAAACATCAACAACAAAAACCCACTATTCAATTTCAAGTACTAGTTTGTTTATTACCACCTGTAGAGACAATCCAATTGACAATGTTCTAATAAAGAACGAGGCGTAGAATCTTGGCCTCACAATTGTATTTTTTCCGACTTACAATACTCATGTTCTAATTGATATAACTTGTAATAAAATACTCTGCAGTAAGTCACAATTTTCAATTCATGCACACGTATTAATGAAAAAGGTTTCTACTATATTTTCAGTAGGTTTTTTTTTTCCAAAATTATTATTTTTATTGATCACAACATGATTAATAATGACGTCATCAATACTCACTTTCACACTTTGATAAGTAATATCATAATCATATTTCTGTATGAAACATGCATCTTCGAACATTATTTCTCTAAGTTGTAATTTTAATTGATGGCTGACTAATAACCCGAATATGTGTAGTAGTAATAATAATAGAGAGTTTTCGCAACCATACGAAAACGATAATGAATACGCCGTTTACGTCATCAAATTTTTAGACAACCCTTTTCCTACAATAGCACCATATGTCACAGCGTAGGCGACTCATGTCTTTTGTATGAATCAAGAATCATATTCGGCTCGTACAGACTACAGTATTGTCAAGAATATCTGAAGTACGAATGACTATAATAATGACGTATTCGTATTCGTTATCGTTTTCGTAAGGTTGCGAAATCTCACTAATAAACTAAATAATTTGTTGTCCTGATAACGGATTTACCACTGAGTCAGTGCATTGAAAACTGACTGATATTAAATATTCATTTTAAAAATATACAACACAGGAAAAATATCTTCATTAAGACAATTGCATTGTATCTGTTGCACAACTATGGCGAAAACGATAACTATGAAAAATATAAACAACTTGGATTTTACTGAGAATTTGCATCGTGGTAACACCTTTCAGTGTAAAACTGGGGTGTTTTATTATGTAAAATAAGTAAAATAATAATATTAAAATAATGCATGAATAAAGAGCAAATAATTTTCGAATGTACCGTGTAATTTCAAGGGTTAGGTGATGTAATTAAAGAGTTAGTCAATTTCAAGGAAGAAAAGAAGTTAATTACATCCGTTTTTGTGTTAGCTGTTGGAAATATAAAATAGAGTTAGTAAGAAGAATGAAGATAAAAAGAGATAAATGAAACAAGATTAACAATATTAACATTAATATAATATGTAAGTTTTGATTAAAAAAAACAGTTCAAAAAGAATTTACTTTAAAACGAAGTAAACAGTTATTATGCCCATAAATGTGAGGTCCACACAAGAAGCAATATTTTGAATAAGTCTAAAGCCCTTGATACAAAGCGGTGCTTGATGATTGCTTTAACCTCAATAATTTAAGGATTGTACCGACATTGCCCATAATGCAGACTTCTGATGTATTAGCTATTTTTAGGTTTTGACCTAAAACCACTCTGAGAATTGTCTCAGAATTACGTATAGTATCAACATAAATTTAATACAGCAATATGATAGAAAGATAAGGTTAATGTGAAACTAAGTTGTTCATATATATATATCAGTATATTAATACCAACTAATCGTGCAAATAATATCAATATTAAAATATATAATATATTGTATATAAAGCTGTATAGTATTTTTTAACTGAAATAGAGTACTGAGTAATAATAAATATTGTAATATATTGTGGTTCAGGAATGAAATTTCATGTACTTAATAATCTATTGTATAGCATTTTAAGTTGCTAAATTTTGTGAATGTATTCACCTATTTCATACACCGATTTTGAATTGAAATTACAAAAATGTTGACATTCTAATTACAGTAGAACTGCTATTAAGGAGACACCTTCAGGACCAAAAATAGTGACCCATTAATAGGGGTGGCCCCTCAATTACAGTTGGCTTTTGTGTTAAATTATATACTTTCCCTTGATTCATGGCCCAAAAGGTGTCCACTTATAAATAGGCCAGGGTGTCACAAATGAGTTCCACTGTGTATATTAAATTCAGAAAATTCAACCAATCATCAAATTGCTACCAATATATATGTAATTTTTATTAAAACAAGAATACAAGGTTTTCAGGTAACTCATATGAAGCACAGAATGGTTTCACAATCATCCAAGCATTACTAAACACAGTTCAAGTGTCTAGTATCAGTAGCAGCACTAACTGGAGGTCCAGTCAAGAAAGAATTCAATTATTTCTTCAAAGAACGCTGCTTTAAAAATAAACATTACAGCATTACAGCCTGACAGTGCGATTTCCAGGCATCTTGGTGCCTATTCTTCAAATTTGCTGCAAATACAGTGGGACTGATGTGAATTGTTAACCCTTAGAACCTTGGACCTCATTGGGCAACTTGGACCCATCTTTCAGGAGTTTATGATGCCACCACTGTACAGTATTGCAACCAGCTGGTCATTCAACCTTCAGAAAGTGTGCTGATAATAGCATAGAGCATGATAACACTAAACTAAGTTTATTTTCTATCATACTTTGAACATAAATGCAAGATATATTCAAAGAATAAATATATTGAGAAAACATACATAAAAAAATATGAATTTGGTTTCAGTAGCTTAAAAATAGCCCACACAACACACTAACATAAGCACAAGGTATTAAAGCTAGCCATGCCCAGACGAACACCCCATGAGTATAACATATCCACACAAACTTTGTGGTGCATGAACGCAAGTTCTCACAACATTTGCTGCACTTCCCCACACAACAAATCTACAAACTTCTTTAAACAGACTTCCTATAGCTCTATAACAACACTATAACATTTTATGAGACAAATACGTGTGTTCTGGTCATATATGGGCATGACGATAGCATATCAGACCCATATACTGTATGGACAATTTAGAAAATGGCTTTAAAAGCAGTCTTTTTAAATTCTTATAGTGAAATAAGAAGTGTTAGCATACGCTTTCTTTGTAGCAAATTGTGCGCCACATAAATATTCATAATTAAAATTATTATTATAATTTAGAGTTATTAGTCACATAAAACGTAATAATGTATAATAGTGCTTAAGCTAATGAATTATAAGAAGAAAGCTTACTCAGTCATCATTAAATAAAACAAAAATATTGAAGATTACACAATAAACATGATATGTTACTGTACATATTTTACTAATATGTTTTCCTCTTTCATTTTACAATTTCATCCATCCATTGATTTCAACACAATTATCCATATATTATTTTACTATATTATAACATTTCTTAAGACATCTTAGAATCCGAGAGGATGTTGCTGCACTACTGATCCTCTTTCAATTACGCTCTTGGAGACTTCGGTCATCGATTTGCAATTTTCCTTTTCTGTACTCGATTTCAAATAAGCTAAATTTTTGGAGACACGCACTGATGCCTCGTTGACGAACACCTTACAAAGGTTAGCCTCATAGTCTGCACTTTCAGCTCCATCGCTCAGAGATTTTGAGCATCTGTACCAGAAAATAACAACTTACATATTAATATATTTTTACTTACAAACACAATATACTAATTTTTAAGATGAGGGAGAAGTCCCTACAGGGGAAACCAGCTACAGGGAACAAAGTTAGTCAAGACCACTATGTTGTCTGTGTGGATTTTATTGAGTGCATAATACAGGGTTTCTATGCTCTAATTTATAAAACAAAAAAAACAAAAAAAAAACCTAGAACTACCAACAAGGAACTTAAAAACAATAAAACAGACTGGTTTCTGCTGCTAGAGTTGTTATGACTACTTTCATTCGTGCTGGTGTTGCTGTTGTTATGTTATGTTATTGTTTCCACTGCTGCTGTTGATATAGGCATTTTTGGTAGTGTTGGTCTGTTTATTGTTGCTTTGTTGATATTTCTGCTAATGTTATGGTTTACCGCTGCTGTTTGTTGGTGCTGTTATGAATAATTGTACTGACATTGTTGTTTTAGATGTAGCTGCTGTTGTTAGTTATTGTTGCTCAATGGCCAATGCTCATGCACTTCCACAATAAAAACTGCCCAAACGTGCTTTCACACTACTAAAATCTACAAAAAAAATAAATTAAAAAACAGGCATGAACGCGAAGGGGAGGAAGGTTGATGTTAGCGATATAGCTGTTGCTGCTGCTGTTGTTACAGTTAAAATTGCTGCATTTGGTGTTGTTAAGGTTATTGTTATTGTTGCTGCTACTGCAGTTGCTATGGTTATTGTTGATGTTGTTATGTTTATTATTGTTGCTGCTGCTGCTGCTGTTATATATAGTTATTGTTGCTGTTTTTGATATAGCTACTGCAGTTGATGTTGTTATGGTTATTGTTGCTGCTGTTGTTTTTAAGGTTATTGTTGCTGCTGTTGTTGTTAAGGTTATTGTTGTTGCTGCTGTTGTTGTTATGGTTACTGTTGCTGCTGCTATTGTTGTTTTTATGTTTACTGTTGCTGCTGTTGTTTAGGTCATTGTTGCTGCTGTTGTTGTTATGGTTGATGTTGCTGCTGTTGTTATGGTTAATGTTGCTGCTGTTGTTGCTATGGTTATTGTTGTTGCTGCTGTTGTTGTTATGGTTACTGTTGCTGCTGTTGATGTTATGGTTATTGTTGTTGTTATTTCATTTCATTTATTTCGCCAGTTAAAACAATAATAAAAGGACAAAAAAGTATTTATTTTGCCAGTTAAAACAACAATACAAGGACAAAAAAGGTATGGTTATTGTTGTTGCTGCTGCTGCTGCTGTTGTTGTTTTGGTTATTGTTGCTGTTGTTGTTGTTATGATTATCAGTTCAGTTTCAGTTTTCTGGTTTTTTTAAGGTTATTGTTGCTGCTACTCCAGTTGCTATGGTTATTGTTGATGTTGTTATGTTTATTGTAGCTGCTGCTGTTGTTGTTTTGGTTATTGTTGCTGTTGTTATGGTTATCAGTTCAGTTTCAGTTTTCAGGTTGTTTTAAGGTTATTGTTGCTAACTACTGCAGTTGCTATAGTTATTGTTGATGTTGTTATGGTTATTGTTGCTGCTGTTGTTGTGATGGCTATTGTTACTGCTGTTGATGTTGCTTATTGTTGTTAAGCATATTGCTGATATTGCTACTGTTTTCATGGTTACTACTGCTATTATTATAGTCAGTTACTGAGGCTGTTGTCGATGTTGCTGTTAAAATTAGGACCAGACTCAAGCCAGCCTCCGACTCCTAGTCTGGGTTTCCTATCTGTAAAATTGTTTCCATGGGGCCCCATCTATCTTAAAATTCTGGGGTATGCCACTGAGGACCAACATACCTTGAAAGAGTAGCAACCATGCCATAGATATCAATGGTTGCCTCCGCCAACCTCCACAACAGAAACTGCTGCTCAACAATATTTTTGCCATGTTTAATCAAGAGGTCTTCAACCGAAAAGCCAAAGTCCTCCATTGCTTTGGCAGTCTTGCTGGCGGAGTCTTTTAAACTAGGATGCACATACTGATCGAGTGAAGGTGCTGAGCTTACTCCTACCATCCTGAAAAATAGAACATGAATATCATTGTATGTTTAACTGCTCTCTAAATCTGAACAAATAGTAAATATTAATTAAATTGCTTATTCTGTATTTGTATATTATCAATTACAAAAAGAAAAAAAAATATATCAACAACCAGATGTTAAAATAACATATAAAGGCAATAAAAATGTTACCTTTTTGCTCTTTTGTTGACAACTTCCATAATAGTTCCAAAATTTCCACCTGGATTCTTGAATGCTTTTTGTAACTCTTTCAAATGTTTTCCAGCATTCTGCAAAAGAGTTTGTACATTGTAGTGGTTTCTTCCACTAGGGATGTAATGGCGACTGACAAGAGTGGTTTAGGCAAGGGATACTATGAGGGTGGAAACAGTGGCCTTAAAAGCATTGGGGGAGGAAATGTTTACTGCTGATTGTGGTAGGTTATTTCACATGGAGATGGCATCAGGAATTAAAGACTGGATGAATGTTGTTGTGGCATCTTCTAGACCTAGAAATGTTCTGTTTTACATAGAAGTTAGTGACAGGTATGTAACAATGCAGCCCCTTTCAATTTGTCACATTATGTTTATTTGGCAGTTGAAATTGGTAAACTGCAATAAAGTTGATATGGAATATTTACCTGCAGACCAGTAAGGGAGATAAACAATCGCAAGATATCGTTTGTTCCTTCAAAAATACGGAATATTCTCAAGTCACGCATTACACGCTCCATTCCACTATCCTGAAAAAAAAATAATACAACATTTCCAAGTTAAAATATTTGTAAATTACATATACAGTATTACAATCATTACAATCATCCTTTTATCATTGTTGTAAATCTACTTGCAAATTAATAATGTTTTAATTTTACTGCAATAAGTCTGATAATAAAATCCAAATGAATGAATTTAAAATATTTTCATAATAGTTTTGGGTTATTCAAAAATATCTATAATCCCACTTGTAAACTATCTATAGAGAAAATTGGAAAAAAATTATATATTTGTATACTTTTTGTTAATAATTACTATACCTACTGCATATACCAATTCTTCTTCCAATATTGCCTGTTACGTGTAACAGTGAAGAGGAAACAAAGATGTATATGGCTTTGATGGCTTTTGATTTGTTTATTCTCATAAAACAAAGTGTAGGCCTATTGTTCATCTAGCAAGACACTTACCCTCATGTATCCCATACCACCAGAAATTTGAATTGCTTCATCAGCAACAAACCAGGCTGCTTCCTAATAAATCAAATAAATATATCAAAATCAAATAAATTAGATATCATAATTATGTTTATCCTATTAATTTAATCAGAATCTTGTACTTAGACATCAACAAATAAACTAAAGATAAAAGTGAATTTCATTAAATTATGTAATTTTGTAAATTATACATTCTTTCAAACACATCTATGGAGTAACTTAGATAAATTAGAAAAAAAATAATCATATATATATATATATATATATATATATATATATATATATATAGAAT